GATTCAAGGAATGTACCAAAGTGACTGAGAAAAACTGTAATAGCTCCAGTAACTCAAAACAATATCTGATAATTCGTCTTTGTTCTTGTGGATGTGGCATTTTAATTTGGATGATTTGAAAAGAAATAAAAACTGTAGAAAATATGGATTTTGTAGCGTCACTGTACTACAAGTATCATTGTGTGAATCACAGAGGAACTGCTATACAGTAAACGATATGATACAGTGGTAGTTAATGCAGTGTAAAACAATCATCTACTGTTCATTGTGATATGTGTAACTTAAAGAACTGTTTATTTTATCCTCATTCATTTCATAAACACTGTGATCATGTTAGAGTGATTCTGGTTAGTCAAACTGATCATAGGAATCCATTTAGAGAACCGACATCTTTTAACAAATATCAGTATTTGGCACCAGTGAACCAATAATGACTCACAAGATGCAATGATACGACATATTACTGCATTCATATTTTGTCCTACCCCCATTATGTAGAAGGTATATCATACATAACATAGTGTAACTTACAGTGTTGCTTTAAGCTAAATGCTAAAAATCAAACATATTTTGGAAGCAAAATGTTCAAAGCTGCACAACACAGATTTAATGATGTTTGTTCATAAACCAAACTATTTGATGTCTAACAACAATAGGCAAAAATTAAATGGGTCACCAAAGTCAGTTTATGCTGAGAAGGACACAAACATCTGTATGGAATTTGATGGTGAACAATTCAATGTTAACCCAAAGAGTTTTAGTACAAGGCAAAGCTTTTTCACTTTTTGGTTTCGTCTGATCTTCAGAACCAGCAACACTCTGAGACAAAGACTGGTTCGCCCTGAAGATACAAGCTGTGCAGTCGAGCTATGTTTAGAAAGACCAAACAACTGCTCCACATGGCATAACATAGACAAGCCAGCTCCTTAGGACAAGACCTGTATCTAAAGGATAAGGAACACTCCTCTGAGGATAACAATGTTCACATTCTGGACAGAGAAGACAGATAGTGTGAGAGAGGAGTGAAGGAAGCCGTCTATGTTAAAACAGAACAGTCATCTCTAAACAGAGGAAGGAATCTGTAACACCACTAACAGGTATTTACAACACAGTCTTGAGATCCCTTCCTAGAAAGTTTCACACCTCGAGACATGTGAATTTTCAGTCATTACTGAGCCTTTAGCCGTGTGTCCTGAGGGTCACAACATATATCTGAGGCTCCCCTTTAGTCAGTTACAACTGAATTAACATCTTGAATGAGCAATAAAATGTATAAAAGAACCAAAAAGTAGAAGTCCAGTTACCTTCTACTGAAGCTCTTAGGATTACTGATCTGGAGCTGGATGACTGAGAAACTACACAAACATTAAATATTAAAAGGTATATAATAAGATTTTGAATTCAAACTTAAGACAAAACAAAAGCCATTTAAAGTTAATTCCATCTCATTCTGCCTGCAGATGTAAATGTTGCATGTTCACATTTTTCTGGATTTCATGCTGAAAGTCAGGGTCCCTGCTCTTGAATTAAGTTTCTAACTCGACTGTCCTGGATTCCCTGTGATCGGATTACTACGTGTAGTTGGAATGTGGAGCTCGGAGTCCAGCGGTTTATTAAGCTGTGACTAATGGAAAAGGAAATGCCAACAGTCACAGCACCTTTCGCCACAGGTTGTGACTAACTGCGTGGTCGTATAGCTCACCGATCGGGTCTATAAATGGAAGTAGACATTTACAATGAAGCTGAACCAAAATAGAAAGCCATGTGGCTGCATACTAATTTGTGTATACTCGCCCGTATGATTTATTTATTCACACGCTGGCAGTGGGAGCATCAAAGTAACTGTAATTTAGATTAAAGGGAGGATGTGCAAATAGCATGATGAAAATTCAGAACAGTAATGGCAATGGCTGGAGAGAGAGGGAGGGAGAGGGAGAGAGAGGGGGAGAAGGAGAGGCAGAAGTGGCTGAGGCCTTGCAAGCCTCCAAAGTGATTCAAGTGTTGGAACTTAGCAGCAGGTTAAAGAAAATCGAAGCTCGTTTCCACGGGGAAACAGACTTGAGTGGTCGTGTTGTTGGAGCAGTTGGGCGGAGAATTCAATTAGTTTGTCATTGATGAGTCTGGAGGCTCTGTGGTGCTGCAGGATGACCTTAAGGTTTCCAGGTCAGAGCTTCTACAGCCTGTGTACATCAGCGCATAGATGCAAGACTGTGATAAAGACAGTTCTGTCACCCAGGATCAAAGCTGTAGACCTGCTTGGTTCGACCAAAGAGCGCCCGACCATCTGCTCCTGCACAGCTGCCTGCTCCTATGGCCCTATGTGCTGCCTTTTTGATAAAAGCAAACGCCTACTAGCATATGTTGTGATGTTTGTGTCATGGCAACAGCGGGAGCCTATGAGTCAACCAGTTAATCAGTATTAATCTAATGTTTTCTACTTCTGGTGGACACTTTGATATTTTAATAGGCCGCAGCCTGCCTGCACTTGTAGCCAAGAAGCGTCTCCAACTACATGAATCATCTTTTAATTAAATATAACTGCAAGCTTAGTGCAAGACGTAGTGAAAGACTCTCCACGTGTCCTCATGTGGCACCCCGGCCTGACAGGCTTATCGCTGATGGTAACATTAGTCATTTTCATAAAAGTAAATGTGTGATTCCCAATGTCGCGTCGGTCGTAAAAACCGCTGAAGCGCAGCCTCCCGTAGCTTAATACCCTTCATTCACTTCTCTCTCACGTGGATGTGTTCGTAGAAAAAGCATGTGTGCATATGAGGTGCGAGTCATGAATGTGTGTGGGAGAGCCGAGGCGGAGATCACATTCACACGTTTGTGTCAACGGGCTTTTCTTCCCAGTTAAGCCTCTGTGTGATTTGGATATCATTCAGTTACAACATTTCAGCCACAGTTGTGAAAAGCTAAAGGTGTCCTCGCATCATTTAGAGCCCTGCGTGTTATAAAACCAATTTGGAAATGGTTTCCACACAGTTAACTCTTTGCCACATCTTGGCTGCTTTACTGAGGAGAAAATCCTGCAGTAATCATGCTTTTCCTGCCTTGAACCACCAACAAAAAGTTATGGCTCCTCTTTTATGTCTCATCCATAAAATGTTTGCATTGTCACTCCAAGCCACCCCAACCTCCTCTTGTTCTTTTCATCCGCCTGTTTTGTTGTGTTTACCCATCTGTCCCTCCACTCTTTCACCTTCATTCCCCCTTTTTTTTTCTGTCTTATCCTTGTCCTCCTTCTATTTCCCAACCCACTGAGCTCTCTGCGAGGGAATAGTCTCATTTGCTCAACTGTAGCAAGAAATCAAATGCATCCCCCAGTATCCATCTAAAGTAACAAATCATCCCACCTCCTTCCGAATGCAGGCCTTGCCCTTAAGAGTGTGCAGCTTAATGCCGTCTCAGGAGGAAAAGGCCTCAAGGGGGACCTGTGGTTAAACTGCAGGAGGGCTGGAAGCCCCATTCCAGCTGTGAAGAAGATGGAAGGAGCCTAAATTGTTAAGGGAGGCCTCGAGCGATGTGGAAGTCAAGGATCAGAGCTGAGCTGATGGTCCAGAGAGGCGGCACTGCTGCCCAGTAGGGCTGCAAAACTGAGCATTAGGCACCTGCTCCTTCACTGCTCTGTTGCTCCGGCCTTGCCAGGTTCATAATGACTTGCCTCGCTGCCGAGGCGCTTGTGTCAGCAGTTTGAAATGGCTCTCATTCTCCGTGCATGTAAGCTTTCCTGCGCCCAACACCAGCAAATGAAAAACACATACCGGTGTGTTACATGATCACAGTCGCTGTACCAGAACCGTGTTCTCGCAGCTGTTTATCAGCTGCGTTGCATGAATCCGCTTCAGGAGAACAAGCATTGTGTGTGTCGTGAGTGTTTCCATCCATATCTTCGAATGCTCTCTGGTGGTTGTGAAGTCATTTAGGAAATAGCTAACAGAAACAAGATGAGGACCAAGAGTGAGTAATACTTCAACACTGGAATTGTTTTGTGGCAATATGGTGATATTGTGTTGCTTTGCAAAACACTACTGACCAAGCTGATCATTACATTCAAATTTAAGGCAAAACAGAAATGTGAGATGGTTTTATTTTTCAGGCTTTTATACTGAAGTAGCATAACTCTAGAAATAAATCAATCTTTAAATTTAGGAGCCAGCAAGTTGCTTTTTTATACATCAAGCAAGCAGACAAGGAGCAGTTGTCAGTAGTTTTGAATCATGTTTGTGAGTATATCTAGGGAGTAGTGGTGGATAAAGTATTCAGATCTTTAAGTTAAATAAAAGCACTGATTCTGCAAAGTAAAAATATTCAATTACAAGTAAAAGTCCTGCTTCTAAAAGTGCAATTAGCAACGAAATGTAGTAAAGTAAAAGCTGTGTTTGGTCACTGACTGATTTATTATTGTATATCATCATAAGATTATTAAAAGCATCAAGAGCCAGTTTGATGAAACCTTAACAAGACACAGACATCTGAAATCTGACATTCTAAGACAACAGAAACCAAAGATGTTTGAAACCACTGGCTTGATCTTTAACAATGAGCTTTTAAAGCTTGTTATATTAGCTATAGTGTGAAATTTAAAGTGCCTAAAGCTGTCAGATAAAAGTAATGCAGTAGAAAGTGAGAAATACTTTTCTCTGAAATGTTGTGCAGTAGAAGAGTTAAGTGGCATAAAATAGACAAAAATTGTACATAAAATTGTGCTTTGGTGCAGCACTTGAGTAAATGTACTTAAATGTTACTTTCCACCACTGGTAAATCGTGTTGGTTTCTGGCTGAATGATAATGTACAGTTGGTTTGCTACGGTTGTCATCTGGAACCGAAACAATCAGCTAAAAGATCTAAAAATGTTGTTGCTCACATTGCACTTGACATCTCGTAATTTGAACCCCACGGCAATATAGAAATATTTGTTGTTGCTGTTTCAAGGTTTTATTTTACAAAAGTAAATGGAATCGCTTTGAACGTTGTTTTCTTTGCTGCCCTTAAGGATGAAATATAAACCTTTACCAGCACCCCCTTGTGGTGTGGAGGACTGAGTGCCTCTGGATGAAGGCCATGGAGCTGAAAGTGTGGGTGGACGGAGTGCAGCGCATCGTGTGCGGGGTCACAGAGTTCACCACATGCCAGGAAGTGGTCATCGCTCTGGCACAAGCCATTGGTAAGCTCAAAACTCCTTTCTTTGATATAAGGAAAAGGTGCTTTATTTGTATGGTAAAACATTATTAGTTACATAATGAGAGAATCACAGCCCAACATAAGGACACAGAAGTCTATAAAAAGCAGTGCAAATGATATTTTGTCCAAGATAAACCCCCACAGGGTTGTTGTGTGATGTGGGCTGTGTCCAAAATTGGCCAGGCAAGATGTCAGACATACTGTGAGGTGATAAATTGCATGAAAATGAAAAGTGACTTGAGGGCACAAAGAGATTTTCACCATAAATGGGCTCCACAAAACGAGATGAGTCATACTGCAGTCTTTGCTTTATTGACATGTGCTGTACAGTCGCAGGGAAACAAGTTCGCACTCTTCCTCTGTTCGTCGTGGCATGATCTGCGCTGCACATGTGCTTTTGTGAATGTAAGACTGCGATTTCTTCAAATTGAGACATGCATGGTTTTTGAAGACAGACAGACTTAAGACCGGACTTCTCACTAACCCCACAGATTAGAGCTAAAACATGTCTTTCATGGCGACAGTCTGCCAGGAGTTATGACATTCACCGTCCTTTGTGTTGGCTGTGCCTTTTGTCCTGACCAGGCCACTTTGATGTGAATTGCTGTAGTGATGAATGCACCTCTTTTTTTTTTACAAGGACCCTTACTGTGCAAGTAGAGGCTGAGGGTGTGATGGGCAGTGTTTTGCTCTTATCTGTATGTGCACAGACAAGAACGCAGGAACACACACACACACACACACACACTCACACACACACAGACACACACAAAGCCATGAACCATTGAACCTAGTGCTTTGGCCAACACAGTGGCTGTTTGTTGAGTTGAATTTTCCCACTGTAAAGCTCTTTCACCAAACACGCTGGTGAAGTCCTTTGAGTCTGCCAGTGGTGCACGAGCGTGGGAGAGCCAGGAAAGAATTCAGTGGATTGGTTTTGTTCTTTTGTCAGTGTTTAATCTGTCTTCGTTGCATCACACATTGAAGTTTCTTCACTTTTCGAAGGCTGCGTTGCTTCTTATCTGCGGGTCCACTGGGCAGCAGCATACGCTAAAGAGACAATATTAGGCTTTTTTGGGTTTTCCCTTGTCTTTAGTGTGGTATAGTTCTTTTTTTTTTTGTCCATGTAAGAGGTCTGCTCACAAGGTAGCTATTCTCTCCCACAGAAAATACTTCGTCCATTTATCCATTTTCTCCTGCTTATTGGGGATGGGGTTGCATGACAGACAGCTAAGCAGGACATTTCAGACGTCATTCTCTGCAGCAACATTTTCCAGTTTCTCCTGGTGGATCCTAACTCGTTCCCAGGCAAGATGAGATACGTAATTCCTCTATTGAGTTCTGGGTCTACCCTGGGGTCCCCTCACAGTTTGACATGCCTGGAAAAACTCCAAAGAAAGGTGCCCAGGAGACATCTTAATCAGAGAGGAGCTACCGCCCCTCTAAGGCTGAGTCCAGCTACCCTATTGAGGAAACCCATATCGGATACCTCTATCAGCGATCTTATTCTATTCAGAGCTTACAACCACAGGTGAGGGTTTGAAAATAGATCAACTGGTTAATCAAGAGCTTTGCATTCCGACTCGGCTCCCACTTCACCACAACTGTCCAGTTTATCACCAGCATCACTGCTGACGCCGCCCCAATCAATCTCAGGCTACATTTTCCTGTCAGTTGTATCTGACATATTTAAACTCACCACCAACCTCGAGGGAGCAATCCACTGATTTCCAGCAGAGAAACATGGCCTCAGACCTGGAGCTGCTGACTCTTGTCTTGGCTGCTTCAAACTCTCATGGAAACTGCCCCAGTTAAGGCCGAAGGTCATGGCCTGATGAAGCCAACAGAACCACATCATCTGCAAAAAGCAAGGATGCAACTCTGACGTTCCCAAACTGGATACCCTTTTAACCCGGACCACACCTTGAGATCCTGTCCGTGAATAACACAAACAGGACCGGAAACAAGGGCCAACCTTGGCGGAGTTTAACACCTACCAGACACATGTCTGACCTGTTAACATCACCATGTAACACATCTGTGTAACATCTACCTAGCAGCTAGTTTGGCCCCCAAACAAAGAATGTGGAGCTTTCTCACAGCCTGCCATCGTTTCCTCAATAGAGCTGCTTCTGCTAGAGCTATGTTTCTCAGCATATACTTAGAAATCTGGAGTTATAGTACATATAACGTTGCCTCGCTTTCATTGGGCCAATCAAAGCAAACTGGGCTTTTCTGGAGGTTGAAGTTTTAAAGAGACAGGAGCTGAAACAGAGCATTTCAGACAGATTGAGAAGAACTATTACAGAAATGTACAATATGTAGAATTTTTATTTATTTTTTAACACTGAAACATGTAAAAAAAAAAAAAAAAAATTATAAACCAGTAAATTTGCATATTGTGGGCTCTTTAATCTGGCTTTCAATCTGGCAATGAATTCTGCAAGTAGTACGAATCCATCAGTGGCTATAACAGAAGTTTTTAGTCGATTGTTCCTCAACTGCCAGTTCCAAGTACACACTGATGCCTCTTTTTCTCAAATGTAACATCTCGTTATCTTGCAGCATGGAATTTATTGGTTATTTTAAGTAATAGGCTGTGAATTTATATGGAATCAAAAAAAATTAATGCAACTAATTGGAAGCCGATGAGAAAAACTTCCTTTAACTTCAAACTAAAATCTACGGTGTGAAAACAGATCTGTCAGTTTTGTGTGTGTGTGTTGAAGATGACCAGCAGAAGAGCCAATAGAAAAAAACAAAACAAAAAACACTTCTTGCAATATGTAAGACACTGAGACCAGCAGTCCCAAAAGCCTTCCACTGAACTCAGGGATGCTTCAGAATCAAAGCACTGAGCAGGATTTACTGCCCACTAAAGTGCACTTACAAACAGACTCAGAATGAGTTGGCAAGCCTCATGATGGTGTACAGAGAAGTGCCTGGACTCAAGATAGATCTGGAGAATATCATATTATGTGCTTGAGGAGTGAAGGAGCAGCATTAAAACTTGTTTTCTCTTTCACTCTTTTTGTTTGTCTTGCTGATGTTAACCCTCTGAACCCCCAAACTTGATGTCAGGCTTTAAAGGCACGTTGGTGTTGTTGTTTTTACGAGCCAGAAACTCAGAAAGAATCTTGAGATTTTCAAAGTTCAGATGGCCCCTGAAACACTCATGTGTGAGTTATAGGAAAAAGTAACCAAATCTAAGCTCAAAATGATGATATTGCATTAAAATTGCTATATCCTACTTGTCTTACATATTTTTTAAAAAGCCAAAAATAAACAGTTCACTTAAACCAGACGCTATAAACAACAAGAACATTTGCGCTCCGTAGCACAACAGAGAAGCTTCGACTGACTCGGCTGCAGCCAACAGTCACAAGACAAACATTCAGACAGTTTTCAGGTAAACTGCCGGCTGTGTTTACACAGAGCAGATATGAGAAATATGTACAGAATGTAAAGTCATATTTTTTCCAGTATGTTTAACACCTGTGGGTGCTTGGAAAAATGTTGACTTCAGTTCTTTTTTAATTTAATCAAAGAAATTCAAAGATTTATCACAATATAACGATGTGATATTGCACAAAAGACATTTTTTCGTTTTCACTTCCTTTAGCCATGGTTGTGCTGTTTCTATAAAGGTGAAGGACTTTATATTGCAGTAAAAACTGAGCGGGTGAAAATGTGACACGAGCAATTAAACTCCCAGAAAGTGCTTGAGGTTCAGAGTGTTCAATAGTTTGGTCGAAAGAAGTTGAAATCTGGAACGAATATCTGGAGCGTTAATTAACGCTGAGCTGATGTGTTTTATTGGGACTGTGTGGGAGTGGGTTAATCGAATTTGACAGAAAGTGACCTGACAAGATTAGAAAACAACTCCACAGTTGTTTGTCCACACAGTTTGTTAAAACCTGATCAATACATCACTTCACCTTTTTCTAGCTGAGCTCATCCACTTTGAAACAGTAAGAAAAGCACACTTCATGGAGGTTTACCCTGCTTGTAATGAAGGGCCGTTCTAATATGAGTTTTTGCTTCGTCCCAGGACGGACTGGCAGATACACTTTGATCGAGAAATGGCGGGAGACGGAGCGTCACCTGGCTCCACATGAAAACCCTGTGGTGTCCCTCAACAAGTGGGGTCAGTATGCCAGCAACGTGCAGCTCATCCTCCAGCGAACCGGCCCGTCCATCAGCGAGCGGCCGACCTCTGACGGTCTGGCTCGCGTCCCTGAACGGGGCCTCTACCGCCAGAGCCTCCCACCTCTGGCCAAGCTCCGCCCATCGGGGACGGACCGCTCGCTCAAACGAAGGGAACCCAAACGCAAATCTCTGACCTTCACTGGAGGAGCCAAGAGTCTGCGAGAAATATTTGGAAAAAGCAGAGATGCTGAAGGTAGCATGTGTGCAATGTATCCATGTTTACTGTTGTCAGTGATGGTTTTCTGCCTTCCTACTTGCATTTTTCTTGTCAACAGTCCAATCTCTCTTCCATTTCTACACCCAGCCAAACAGCCTCAGCATCGTGGTGTGAGTCTGAACCTGAGCAGAGTTGGAGGAGGTGGAACAGCATCTGTACCTGGGAGTCCAGCCAGAGAGCTGAGCCGACTGGTCCAGCTGCAGAGAGACAAACTTCAGGCCCTGGAGAGCCATCTGCTGGGCTGCGAGGCCGAGCTGCGAGACTGGGAGGAGGCCGCCGGCGAGGCCAGTGAAGTGAGCAAAAGCACAGCTGTCGGTGCCGTTACTTTGAGAGAATTTGGATCTGTGCAGACCTTCAGATCATCTGCGCCCTAAACCCTCATGTCTTCGAATATGTTAATTTGTACATCCCTGCACCATCTTTCATTCCAATCATTTTTCACTTCACAGGATGGAAACTTGGAGGAAGAGCTGCTGCTTTTGGAGCAGCAGGTGAGGAGGAACGATGCTGAGATGGAGGAGGAGGAATTCTGGCAGAACGAGCTGCAGATTGAGCAGGAGAGCGAGCACCAACTGCGGCAGCAGCTAGCCGAGCTGCAGGGCCGCGTACGCGACTGCGAGGCCAAGCTTTCAGAGTATTTAGCACGAATACAGGTGAGCTTGGCATCGTAGATACCGACCTACTCAATTCAACCAGATGATGTTTTAATGGGTTTATGAACAGCATAAAGAATTTAGGGACTGTTTGTCAACTACAAACGCTAGAAAAACTGTGCTTATTGCAGAAGTAAATGAAGAAGAAGGTTGTTTTTTTTTAAATGCTAGATTTGCAAAGATTTTATCTGTTTCATTGCACAGAACATGGAGTCAGGCCTGGAGCAGGAGCGACTGCAGCAGGAGGCCGAGCTCCACCAGAGGGTCAATGAGGAGGAGGTACAGCCCAGGCTATCGCTTTTTTTTTTCTTCTCCCAGGACACCCACACAACAACATGAAAACAGAGGAATTGGTTTTGTTGAACTGCTGACTTCTTGCACATCTCTGCAGCCAAAGACACTCACTGTGAAGTTCTACTATTTAGTTTTAAAGCACATCTTATAAATCATATTACAGAAAGTATACTTCACTTGAAGTCTGAAACCTCACATATACAATACAGCCTGATTCTCAGCTTTCAGTCTCTCCATTTGCAGCATGAGCAGTAATTCCAGCTCTTTAAATCCAGTCTATAGAAGATGGAAACACATTCTTCAATAAAGACACTAAAAGTATTTGAAGATTTGCTGCTATTGTTCTACAGTGGGTCTATCTAAAAAGAACTCTGCGTATTTTTCACAGGAAAGGAACTCAAATTCAGCACATCCAAGCATTAAAAGCCCTCCTACGTGTTTAACAATGAGGACTAGCTACTTTATTCTCTTGAAAAGTTGTTTCTTTACTTCCACTCTGGATCTCAGGTGCACGCCCAGCTGGAGAAAGTGAGGGCAGAGTTGGAAATGCAGGGCCAACAAACAGCGCGACTGGAGAGCAGCTGCAGGGCGTTGGAACGCTCACTTGGCCAGTCAGGCAAGAGATTACAGGTCAGCTACATTCAACTGTTTTGTATTTTCAGATTGGTTTTTTTTGTTTTTTTTTTAAACCACCATAGCCTCAAAATTGTTAAGAATTCAAAGCACCCCTGGCGTTATGCTAAAAATACAGTTGCTCCCAATAGGCTTAGGAAATGGTGAGGAAGTTTGATTTTCAGCAAATTCTTATTACAAAGTTGGATAACTTTGGCTGCTGCAGAGTGTGAAAATCCAGTCCTCTGCACACAGGTGGAACCATAGAAATCAAAGCTCATTAAGTTGTAGGCAGTGGAGCGGAGCTTTTATCTCTGGCTCGCAGCGATGCGCGGTGGATTCTTGCCTGCTCGCATCCGAGTTGTAGCTCTACGTCGAGGCGAGGTCCAGCAGGGTGTGGGAAGCATGAGGTAATGAGAAGGGGGAGGGCGGGAGGGAATTACAGCATTCTTTGCCTGATTAGAGAGGGGCCTGAATAAGTACACAATCCCTTGCCTGCAGTTGCGTAACCATCTGGGAGCGAACTCTTTTCTTTAGCTGTCTCCACCAGGTTATGACTTCTGTAGAGATCCTGAGCAGGGTGTCGACTCTTTTTTTTTGCATAGCCACCAATTAAATCTACCTCAGAGTGATTGTAGATGCAGATCAGATCACTGAGACTTTCTCTGGATTTGCAGCACCGACCTGTTAAATTAACTCCAAATTGAACTCCAATCTTTGGAAGATAGTTGAGTGCATTATTCAGCTTTACACTGCACTATGTTGTTACAGTGTTTTGTTTTGTTTTTTGTTCAGGAGAAGGAGCAGGAGCTGGAGCAGCTGACAAAAGAGCTCCGACAGGTCAACCTGCAGCAGTTCATTCAGCAGACCGGTACCAAGGTCACTGTGCTTCCTGCTCAACCTACAGCCGAAATCAGCAACGGTACAAACACAAGCAGCCCATATAAACACAGTATCATCACCCACGCCAGTTTTAAAAGGTCAATTTCACAGCTGACTTCATCGGGCTGACATATCTGCATACAGTGCTGCTGTTCCATGTGTGTGGACACAGTGCCACCTTGTGGTGATCCCCAGAACCACGCATCAAACTGCAGGCTAGTGAGGCAAGACTGTTGTGCCGTGACAGCTTAAGTCTGTAACCCCATTACATGCTCTGAAATGCTGCCAGACTTTCACAGGAAGTCAAAAGGAAAATCCCCTATTTTCATCCTCAAAAGAAAAATTCCCCAGAAATGGTTTTTTTTTTGACATCTTGTAAACTTTCTCAATTCCCTTCCAGTTCAGTCTGACGTCCTTTCTTTCTGAAATTATTCGCCAAATGTTTAAACATCAGAATAGCACATGAGTGATTTCCACGCCTTATTTTTATAGCTGCTAACTTTATTTTTTGGTCTCTACAGAGGTGGAGGGCGGCTCTCTGAAACGCCTCGGCTCCTCTCGTCTCTTACCCAGCGACCTTCGTGCCCTTCAGAGCACCGTCTCCTCCAGCCTCAACCCTGAAGGAATCTACGTTTGACCCCAAGCTGAGACTTTTTTTGGGGGGCAGTCTGATGCTACCGGGGCTGATTCTGTTCCCAAGAAATGACTCTACGAACTTCTTTCTAGCAAAGTGCGTCACCTCAGTCGGGAGGATGTTGGTGAAAAAGGTTTGACAAGAAACTTTTGATTGGTTGCATCTCCCCTGCACTGCCTCCTCATCCTTATTACTGGGACTCAAATTGATGTCAATATCTATTTGCATACTAACATTTAATGTGCTGTCTCATAAGTCATAAGAGGATTCAGCTCCATTTTCTCTAAGAAGACAACAAGCCAGCAGATTCTGTTTTTTGGAGGCTCGAGTCAACCAGTGCAGACAAATGTAATTTGTTTGCTGTAAATCAACGAGTGACTTTGACACATGTACACATATACATACAAAAAAAAAACCTACTAATTGCATGAGCATGCACAAACAGTGACACCACACCTGTGCTATAACCATAGCCATATCTGATTGCCTTACTCTGGTCTTTTAAAACCAGACGTCAGTAAATGTAAAACAGAACTCAAGGTAGCTACTGAACACTATGCGCCATATAAATTTAATAAACTGCTCGGCACCAATTCAGGTGACTCCTAGTCGATGTCAGTATATCTCACTGGGTCAGTCCTTTTTTTTTCTCTTTTTTTTTTATACGTGAACTTTTGTATTGATTTGAATAGAAAACAAAGTCATTTTTCTTATGTTTAGACAGCGATGGGAAGAAGAAAAAAAAAACCCTGAACCATCAGAATATAAATGATATAAGAGACAGAGCTGAAAGCAGGCTTAATGGGCCCATCAGCTGTTTGACATTTTGCAAAATAGTTTGGCTCCAGTTTGGCCCATTTGAAGTTTGCATTGTGCAGGAGGCATCAATCTCCTTTTGTTTTTCTTCCTCCAAAATCTCTTGAATGAACAAGATGACAGAGGCCTTTGAGTCTGCGGTGTACATCCAACCTGTGATTCCTGTGCGACCACTAGGTGGCGACAAAACATACAATATTCATACCGGTGAAAGTTAACTGTGTGAAAGTTCCTCCAACTGATGTGTTCAGTCCGCGATCGTTTTCACGGCTCATACATGACTGTGCATATTGTTTTGTAACAAAGCCTCAGCACTTTAGCTTTCAGCGTATTAAGGTGCCATTTAAAAGACTGGCCAAGTGTTTGACGTGTTTCACTGTGTTCGTGGAGCAGGGACACACATGCATCTCGACAACAGGCTCTCTTCCGTGTAATTTCTAACATTTTAACGAACTAAAGATGTCTCATATGAACCAAAGGTTGTGTAGCAAAACAAATGGTTAGATGAATGTACTTTTTTATACGTGTGCAACTCATGAACATGTACCAGCTTGAGTAGTTTCATACGGTGTGTTTTTCATGGTTTGTTGTCATTAGGTGCTAAGTAGGTTAGTTTTGTCACACAGGAGGATGAAGTTACTGATAAAATTTCTCAGAAAAGGAAATTCAATCAAATCCGAGAAACCCAAGCTGCATTAAAATACCCTATGTGTATATATATGGGCTCAGAAAATGTGTAAAAATGGATGAATGTGTAAAAAAGATTTGCAGTTGGAACAAAAACGAAACAAAATGGGGACATATATCAATGTTCACATGCATTCAAGTTTCAAATATGTATTTTTTCAGCCCAAATAGGCAATTTAAATGTATGTGTGGGAATGTGTTACTCCAACATCACACAGTTTTCTGCTTTGAATCAGTATTCACTCGAAGCGGTTCTCTTGTTTCAGGTCTGATTTAATTTGTGCAACTACAAATCTTCTCTACTCTTTCACAAACTTGAATTTTTTCCCCCTCTTTCCTCTGCGAGAGATGCAACCACAGACTTTGCAATTATTTCATCTCCCAAGCTGCAAATCTTATCGACCATTATTTGAGCCCACATGAAGAAGCCGGTGTTTGTGCTGTGAATGTATAATAACAAAGTGAATTCCTCCCTCCAGTACGAACAGTCTCTGCTCAGTTGTTTGTTTTACGGCGCAAGAAAAAAAAAAAAAAAGGTAACCTGGAGAAAATTCACAACTTTTTCAAAGTCCTCTCTGCAAAACTGTGCTGTGACAGTTACAGAAAATTGCAGTATTATCGTCATGGCAACAACTTCGGCTGCGACACAGAGACTATAACCCGCTAACAAAGGAACTACAGCCCTCGTTTGACTGAACGTTTTGAATAATGGCATGCCTTACTGAGAAAAAAAAAAATGTAAATGTCTACATATCACGTCAGTCTATGGACTATTTTTGTAAAGTAGATTGAAGTCTGATATATGCAGAGTGCCGGTAAACAGGCAGAGTGTGCATGCAATAAAGTGTGACTGGTTTATTTGGACTTCCAATTAGTGGCTACCAACAATTCATCTGAGACTCATTTTGTTTTTGGTTTGTTTTGTCCCTTTTGTTTGTTTTTTTTGCCTTGTTGACTTGTACAGTGATGGATGAGTGTAGTAGAAAAATGGCAAAACCTCCACATTCATTTCATGCCTTTTCATTTTGTTTTGGCAAAATTCATGAATGTAGAAGAGATCCATGTTGCATTGAAACATGGCAATAAGTTTACCAACACCGCTGGTTACGTCTTTTTTGTTCCCCGCTTCATGCTTTGAGACATTGCCAATAATTGGCGTCTGTTGTGCCATCAATGGCGCTTTTTAAATAAAAAGTTTGAGATGATGGAGCCATTATGGAAACAGCCATCGAGTGGTTTTGAAAGCTATTTTAGTTACACTGTGGCTCAGGGATGTTTCAAGGCACAGAATTACCCAGACAAGAATGGACAGAAAGTAATTATGGGTAAATGCTGTTCACAATGTCTCAAGCCATTTGACAAGTTAAAGCGTATGTTTGCTCTCATGGGGACTTCGACAGCTGTTTGACGAGTTCAACACCGGGTCCTTGACGCGACACAACAAATGAAAATGAAGGAACGGTTCTGTAGTGAAAGAGATGTAGCTGAAAGTAAAGTGTCTCTGTTGGCGCATGATTTATGTGGAAGCCAGCCCAGTTTGCATCTCATGTATTATGAGAGATACACCAGAGTATACATGAGAGGCACAATCTGGGGTTTGCAGTGTAATCCTGTTCCTGAAACACCCCTCAAAGTGTTTACATGAACACTTCATTGTAATGCCTGTCAGATGAACTGTGTGGCTGACATCACCGACTTGCATAAACTCTTAACATTTACACAAGACAAATCATTGTATATTCAAAATGGTATTATAATTTTGTATTGTTTACCTGCAAATTCAACTACTGTATTTTTTTATCTATCAGAATTTTATCAAATTCCTTTTGGGTCATCGTTTAGCCACTGTGTATGAATGACATGAAAATCAAAGTATAATGTAAAATATATAAATAAATGATGAAATATATTTAAGAAAAAAACAGATGCCAGAAATCAATAAATTGCTATACAGTGCGGAATTTGTTGCTTTTCTTTTTGCTTTTTGTCTCAGAAAATGGACTAGCGTGACAGACTGTCTTAGCCTAAATTTGCTGTTAGCGGCTCTAATACCACAAACACTAAACTACACTCCTGAAGTGTAGTTGTAAAAAATAAAATAGCTAGATCTCAAATTTAAAGTATAATCTCCCCTTACAGATGAACAGGTCAAACTTGTCAGCTGAAATGACAGCTGTTGCTAATGCTAGCTAGCTATAAGCTAAGGTTATACCCTTGAGTTATTGGCTTAAAATTCATTCTCCAGCTGATTTTTAGTGTTTTCAGCTAACTTGCTTTAAAATGTAGTCTTATTTTAAGAACATGTATGCCATACAACAACAGAAACCTACACGCTGTATGCCTTGCTACTATTGGTGTTGGAAGTAATGCTAAGGTGGTAAGCTAGTTAACAGAATGTTTTAACTTTTGGGACAGACAAGCACACGGTTTAGTCCATTCCTAATCTAGTCTTTATACTTTTTGCTATTGTTTTCAATCAGTAAAAAAAACAACAACAGCAAAAAACCACCACCCTAAATCTTTATATTTTTCAGCCCCATGTGCAGTTTAACAGGTTAAAAAATCTAGAACTTGACTCTAAGAATTTATCACATTTTCCTCTTTGAGACGTTGTTTAGCCACTACGTATGATTCACAAATGAACATAGAATTACTGAATAAAATCAATTTTATATATAGACATTTAAATGTACTTTAAAAACATGCCAGAAATCAATAATCACAAATGGAAGAGAGAAGGTGAGGCCTTTAACTGCAAGAACACCATACTTACCATCAAGCATGGCGGTGGTAGTATTATGGTCTTGGGCTGTCTTGGTGCCAGTTGAACTGATGTTTTACACAAAGTTAATTGAAAAAATGAAGAAGAAGATTTACATCCACATTTTTCAGGAAAACCTAAAATCATCAGTCAGAAGGGTGGGACTTGGATGCGGTTGGGTGTTCTAACAAGACAATGACCTCAAACATCCAAAGTGGTAAAGAAATGGTTAAATCAGGTTAGAATTAAGGTTTTAGGCTGGTCTCCACAAAGTCCTGACCTTAACCACATCAAGAAACAGTGGGCTGTCATGAGAAAACAAACCTGTGTCACAAAGCCAACAAATTGATTTTAACTTTGCCAATTCTGTCAAGAGTAGTGGTCAAAGATACAACCCAAAGCCTCTTCTACCAAAAGCATCTGGTTAAAGTAAAATTAGCCAATGGATGTTTAACCAAATAGAATTGCTGTATGTATATTTTTGACCCGGCAGATTTTGTCATATTTCCAGAAGACCTTTCATAAATCTATAAAAGAACCAGAATGCATGATTGTTGTGCATAGATCATTCCATCATAGAGAATTAAGAGATATAGGAGTCATTGAAAACTCAAGACTGCCGTGATATACATGGTCTTTGCAAGTGACTTTTGTTCACAACTGCATGTCATGCAAGAACAGACACTAACATGTATTGTGTATGACCTACGCTACTACTGTTGCTGGAAGTAATTGATACCCTGAACTTGTACACTACTAGTTAGCACCTGATGTTAGTGCAGGCAGTCCATTCTTTACACTTTTGCTGTATGTTTGGTCTTGGAAAGGGTCAGAAAACAGAAACTACCACCCAAAATCTTTACATCAAACAGCCCCATGCACACAGTTTCCACATGTGAAGACAAGACTTCACAGGGCTGCTGCACCTGCAGCCCTGGCTGGACGTTAGCTGTTCAGTGAAGGGATTTAGCAAACGCTCAATTACCAAAACCCAAGAGCCACACAGTAAACCTGGGGCTCCTGGGTTTCCCACTTTGCCTGGGTGGTAATCCGCCATTGGATGGACAGAGAAGAAAAGAATGTGTGTGGGCTGCCAGCAGTATCCCCCACAATCAAAATACTAGCAGCATTACAGGTCCTGGTGATATCATCTGCAAATGTAGGGGCCTTCGTTCTACAAGAAAAGGCAGATTTATTTGTCACTTACTCTTACAGCAGAGAAAGGCGCTGCTGCCGCCTTCTGAATGAGCCGGAGACATGTGGGTGACTTTTGCAGTTGCCTAAACGAGATGAGATAAAAGCACGGATGACCTTCTGTAAATCTACAAAGGATAAAAACAACTTAATTTTTAATATGTTTCTGAATTGCAGGAAGCGGCGCCACAGCATCCTCTTTACCTGCACTTCAGAAGTCAAGTAACTGTCAGAATCGCTCTCAGCTCTCTGGCCAGCCAGCTTTGTTTTGGAAGACAAACACAAAGACTGCTGCAGAGACCGACTGGAATAAAAGTTTCTAGAAAAAAAAAGAGAAAAGACCCAATTTCAGATTTATTTTCAAGTTGAGAGGAAAACTTTTGATACTTTACAGAATTGGAGAACTTTGGTTATCACACCAGGTGTTTTTAGTAGGAAAAGTCATTTGTCCCTGAGTGTCTCTCTGGTGTATTCCCCGCTTTAATACTTTAAATGGAGCTCAACAGCTGGGTCAGAGGGGCTCTGATTACATCTGTGACCCTCTCACACCAAAAGATACTGGAAGATTTGTAGCCTTAAATGCTGTTAACTTCATCCGACCTGATTTTTTTTTAACTCCAGTTGTCTCCTGTTGTTTATCAGGTGCCATCATTAGATTTACTAGTCTGCCATTTTTAGGAAGGCTTACTTTTGGGGATGCATACGGTATATCTCATTAGGGAACAAAACTCCTTAGTAAGTGACAGCAGCTCTCAGCATGCAGGTGTCAGCTAAGCCTCCAGCCATTTAAACACAACACAACAGCATTGTTTTTCTTATTAAACCTGTTCACTGTGAGTGCTTTTAAAGTGTGTGTTTTGTTTTTGTTTTTTTTGGAGAAAATGGAATTAATATTTGGGATTATGACTATTTGTGCCATTTAAATGGAAATCAAACTGCACTGAAGAGTATTTAAGGGGGTGGTCTTGCAGCCCACATGCCCCAAAGGTGTTGCTCTAGATTGTTAAGTTGTTGAGAATGTAATTAGTGAGTTTAACATAACTTAAAATAAACAAAAATATGGCCATTTTCATTGCAATTTCAACACAGTTTTCCTGTGTTTCTCTTGTTATCCAGTAAAAGTATGACTGATATTATATAAAATATTAACTGTATAGTTCAAAACATATTTACACACTTAAAATTTTGAATAGTATGGGAAATACAGCAGCTCATCACCCACAGGAAAAGTCAGACGTGGTTCTTTATTGCCTGCTGTGGGACTAAGTTGTTTGCTGTGGGAGAATTTGTCCCTGATTCATACAACAAATCCACTTCCCATATCAGCTTCTTTCTCTATCCTGAGCTCCGCTGATTCAATCACTCACAGCGCTGTCCCTGGGCCTGCAATAACATCAAAGTAGTTTGATGTTATCAGAAGAAAATCTGTACAATGCCGGAGTGTGACAAGACTTTTGTGAGAAACCGTCTGGATGGAGATCAGAGATTTTATGCGAGCTCTGAGTTATGTGAGTCCTCTGAAGGTGCAGCGCTGATCAAGATGAGTAATAGTCTTATACTTATGAAGCCTAATTGGTTAA